GTAGAAGGGCATCATAGCTCCCAGCAACCTTATACTCTTAGGCCCAAGTGATCCTCTTGCCTCAGCCTCTGAGTAGCTGGGACTACAAGGATGGACCACAATGCCCATTTTTAGAGATGGAGTCTTGATCTTGCTCAGGCTGGTCTCAAAATTCTGAACTCAGGCAATCCACCTGCCTCGGCCTCCCAAAATTCTGGGATTACAAGCATGAGCCACCTCTCCTGGCCTTGTTTTGCCTTTTAATGAGCAGGTTTCAAATATGCTTCTTTGCTTTTTACCCTTTTCTTCCCCCAAAATGTTATTTTTAAGACTGACACATAGAGTTCAGAAAAAACTTTTAAGTCTTTTTTCTCTACTCAGAAAATGAATCCACTGGGAATCCCTTTGGAATTTCTACTGTTAGTGTGGCCTTACTCTTTCTAGGTTGCCTGTTTATCTGAAATCCCTAGAGCTCTGTGAGAGGTTTGTGATGAGATTTAGGGTTAACTTCACTAGAAACTGGTTATTATCTGTCTATCCTCTGGCCGCTAAATATGCTAAAGATATAAATTTGTGTTTTTAGTTTTTGCAGGTTTTGCATAGTATAGATTTTAAGACTATTTTAAGAAATTAGGACTTAGGCAACTGCCATTACCTTTCTTTGTATTAATTTTATTTCAGGGAATACCTAGGTTTCAGCAAAAATCTCTGCTGTCTATGCCTATCTCTGGTGGAAGGAGAAAAATTGAAATAATATTAATTCCTTTAATGATTTATTTCTTTATGATTAATGCCAATTAATATATAGATAAACAGAGAGTGCCCAATAATAATAACTTATTTTCTAGATTAAGATTAAAGTTACTATAACTTAAATTTTCTTAATTTAAATAAAATTAGTGGTTAACCAGAGATGATAAACAAGCAATGCAAGTGACTATACTAATGCTCACTTAACTTACAAAAAACATTTTGCCTGAATGTATGTTTTCTGAAACAAAGAACACTATAAATTTGGAGGAGGAGATTAATTATCTCCATTTAATCCTGCAATTTCATTGATACAGAGTGGGTGGTGTCCCAGCTTGGGCTATGCCAGACCTCCCAGGAGGGCCTGCAGAGGACCCGCCACACCTTCTGCATCCTATGCCCTGAGGGGTGTTGCGGCAGGCCAGGGCTGGAGAGCCAAGTGCTGTGGAGTGGAGCCACCCTGGCCTAAGTCCAAAGGAAGTTGAGGGAGGTCACAGACAGCTCCCACTACTGACAGAGCCACCTTTTCTTTCCCCTTATTTCAGAGAGCAGTACCTACCATGGTGAAGCTGCCCTCGGTAGCACACACAACTTCTAATGCTGAAAATGACCATGACACAGCGTTCCTGCATTGATGACTGAACAGTGTTTCCCCATTGGGCTGGAGCAATTTCATGAAGAAACTATATCCATTCATTAATATGCCCATTCACTCTGAAAAAGTGTTTTTTCATCTCCAATGTCCTGGCCAAATGTAACTCTCCGGGGTATATATTCCCCTAGACAAAGGACCCATGCAGAGATTTTCTGACTAGAGTATCTTCCCTGCCAAAAGCTCTGGTGCTATTCTGTATTCTTTTCTGTATAATAAATCCTATCTTACCACTGATCTGTGGTATATCATTCATTCTTTGAATTACTGAGACCAAGGACCTACTGAAGAAAAAAATTCCTGTAGCACCATTTTTAGGCATCTAACCAGAAAAAAAAAAATTATGATAAGGACAATTAGACTAGATTATTTATCACAGCTCAATTTACAACTGCCAAAATGTGGAAACAAGCTATATGCCCATCAGCTCAGGAATGGGTTAAAAAACTGTGGTACATGTATACCATAGTATACTATTAAGCCATAAAAGAACATAGAGACTTTACATCTTTTGTATTAACCTGGATGGAGTTGGAACACTTTCTTCTTAGCAAAGTATTACAAGAATGGTAAAGCAAATATCCAATGTACTCAATACCAGTATGAAGCCAGTAGACAACTTAATACACACCCAAGTAAGAGGAAAACTCAATCTAATTCAAGTTAGGGGGAGGAGGGATAAAAGAGGTGGGAGAGGAGAGGAAGGAGGCGGATTGGTGTGCTCCTATTTAATGGGCACAATGTAAGGACATATGGGACACCTCTCGGTTGCCAGACACAACTACAGGAGGGACTCGACCTAACAAATACAAACACTGTAACCTAGTTGTTTGACCCTCCCACTGATTTGTAGTAAAAGAAAGACATTATCAGTGAAATAATTGAGGTGATATTGCCGTTTAATCATTCTTCTCTTCATGTCAATAACAATTCATTTTCTTTCTAAGCCAGTAGTAGTTTCAAAGAATATAGAGTTCTGTGTATTAATCAATTTTATCAAATCATAAAGATGTAATCAATAAAATTTATATTCAAATAAAAATATAATAGTGTGGTTAATATTAATCTTGTGAATTTCAGAAAATATCTATACTTACTTCAATGTTAGTATAATTTAATTCCTTTCTAATCCTAATTATTTAATTTAGTAATATCTTCTATGGCCGGGCATGGAGGCTCATGCATGTAACCCTAGTGCTTTGGGAGGCCAAGGCAGGTGGACTGCATGAGCTCAGGAGTAAGAGAGCAGCCTGAGGAAGAGCCAGATCCCACAGAGCCAAGCATAGTGGCACACATCTGTAGTTCCAGCTATTCGGGAGGCTGAGGCAAGAGGACTGCTCAAGACCAAGAGTTGGAGGTTGCTGTCAGCTATGACACTACAGCATTCTACCCAGGGTGACAAAATAATAATAATAATGATATCTTCTACATATTTTAGCTAAAAGTTCTTTAAAACAAAGCAACAAACTGTGTTCTGAACATTTTATTTATTTGGACTTTCATATTGTACTTGTTTGCTTTGGATATCAGTTCTTCCTTATTTTAATTGCACATTAAAAATGTGATTCTACCTATGAATTAGTCATTTACTTATTACTCTGGGAATGGATAATCAAAGCAGTAAAGATTCTACTCTTTTTTTTTTTGGATAACAATCATAGCACACCATTCTCTATGAAAAATTAAATTCACATTGGTAAAGATCAGGTAGTCCCTTCTACCTACTTCCAATATTCCTCTGAATACAAGGAATATTGACAAGAGCATTCACTTCAAGTTTATGTTGACACTTTGATCCATTTGAGTAAAATTCTGACTAAGCTCCCTCAGGTTATGAAATGCATTTTCATTGCCAACAACCATTGATAATTTCTTTCCTCATCCCAGCATGCACTCAAAGTCAACACTTTTATGACCACCTGTGGTTAATTTTCTAGGACATTTCAGAAGGCATAAAGTTTTTTTCAATCATTGTTTGTTATTATATTTTCTATTTTTATGAAGGCTCTGACATGGCACTCAAAGAAATTTTATTATTGGATAAGATTTGGCTGAGTCTCCTAGAGTCAAATTTGGAGGTGTCCTCCCATCGCTGTTTTCCTTGACAACTTTCTCTCACTGTTACACCCAATTCCTTGGCAATTCTGTCCTTTGCCTCTACAATCTATTCAGAGCACACATCTAGTGTGAGCCATCAGCAACGTAATCATTGCTGCAGTTGCAGTCCCCTTTACCTTCTTCTGGCTTCCACCCTTGTCCTCACAGGGCATCTGTGAACACCTAAATTAAAGCAAGTTGTTCCTCTGCTTAGAACCCTCCATGCCTCCTACCTCACAGAGCTAAACCAAAGACCTCTCCGTAGCCCACAGGCCCTGAAATATCTGCCTCTTCAGCTTCCTTCTTTTGCTATCTCCCACTCCTATAGCTGCTGCAGCCACACTGGGATTCTTGCTTTTCACAGAACAGACAGACACACCAAGCCTCAGGGCCTTTGCACTTGCCATTT